GGAGGCAGGCGTGGGAGCCAGTGAGCTTCCTGAACCTTCTTCCTCAGATTTCCCCAGAGGAGGCTCTGCCATTGGTTAGGCAGAGTGCAAGAGAAGGGGTCTGCGGAATGCCCTCTGGTGAGGACAGGGCGGCCGTGGCCCACACACCCAGGCTCCAGGCAGGAGCGGAGCTCCCCGTGACCCGCGGTCTGCTGCTGGTGGTGCCGGTGGAGCCGGTGGTGTCTGTGCCCTGCCAGCGGCGGCTGTGGGTCTGTATGGACAGGGTCTCAGGCACTGTTTTGGCTGCACGCCCTCAAACCTGGTTCTAGAGCCCTCCCAGAGTCTGTGAGCCACGTGATACGACACCCCCTTCCTTAAGGAGCCAACAAACAGATAAAGACATCAAGGCCTTTTCTAATTAAATCAGCTAAATTCAATTTCTGTTGCTAGAGATTTGGGACTGACACAACCCCTCCTTCTATCTGATGGTCTGACTTCCAAATAGTCCTTATTGATTGCATGTCTTAGATTTCTGAGGACACAAATGTTTGTGTTTTTTCAATCCTCACCTGAGGATATGTGCTTTTTAAATGGATTTTTAAAGAGAGAGGAAGGGACGGGGGGAGAGAGAGAGAGAAGCATCGAAGTGAGAGAGAAATATCCATTGGTTGCCGTCCATATGTGCCCCCGCCAGGGATCGAACCCACAACACAGGTATGTGCTCTGACCAGGAGCTGGGAATCGAACCCACAACCTGGTTATGTGCCCTGACTGGGAATCAAACCTGCCGTCTTTTGGCGTACGGAACAATGCTCCAATCAACTGAGCCACACCTGCCAGGGCACTTTTCATGCTTTTAAGGTACCACATGTAAGGATGGGCCAGGAAGCACCAGCTGACACTCGGCCGGGGCTGAAGCCATCAGGGATGCACTGAGCCCACTCCCGTGTTGCCACAATGATACCCCCACCTGATCCTGACTCACCTTTCCTCCTGGGCTTGGAGCAGATCTGGGCTCTGTGGCTTCTTCCTTGAAACAGCTTTTCCCACACCTTCTTGTGCAAACTGCAATTGTTGGCCCTAGTATCTGACTCAGATCTGCCTCTAGAACTACAGGCCAAACCTGGCACCAATGGCATGCATCTGTTACTGTCCCCTCTTGTCTCCAGAGCCTTATTTTGCCAAGGCCCATGGCTCTGTATGACATCTGTGGAGGAGACGTGGGGCTTATTGGGGTAGATGTTCTCTGCTGGTGGGTTTTAGGAGGGCTCAGGATGAACCCTACTGCTTCTTAATGCTTCTGCTTATGTAGGTGGGTCCCATTATCTTCTCTTGGGACTCTGACCCATTTCCTGTTATTATTTCTTAAACTGGGTCAAGTGTAATTCTTTCTTTTCTAAGTGTAGCTGGCAACCCGGATACGTAGGTGGAAACAGTGCATTTACGTTTACGTTTGCAATTTTTGTTGGAGCCCTGTATGACAGGGCAAGGTCTGCTCGCTTCTTCTGCCCAGTCCAGCCTTTCTGTGCCACTGTCCCCCCCTTTTCTGCTCCCTGAACTACGTGGGGAAGCCAAGGACTTGGTCGACCTCTGTCAGTCCTGCTCAAACCACATGTGGGCTCTGTCCCCAGGGCATGGCCTAGTTTCCAGGAAGGATCACTGCTCTGGAAACTCACGCTGCCATGGGGTTGAGCAATGTGTTTGCTTCCATTGGGCACACATGGTTCCCTGGGTCACCTAGAGGCTCAGTCGGTGGTGAAAGCCTCCATCAGTCTGTCTGAGGCAGAATTCTTTCTGGGAGAGTGTGAGGGGGTCTACACAGGATACTTAGTCTCCTGATGACACCCTTTAGCTGTGGACCCTGTACCATGGCTGAGCTAAGGAATGAAAGAGTGGTTTCCGGCCCCCCAGGGAGAGGGTGCTTGGGGCTGCTCTTGCAGCTTTGCTGGCCACCCCAGCCCTCATCATTCCTTCCTCTTCAGAAAGAATGAAGGGACATTTTGTCCACATGTTTCTGTTGACACATCAAACTGTCTCATGGGCTTTAATCAACTGTGTCTCTTAAGCAGCTAAGGCAAATTGCATATTTTTATTCTTCTCTGGGCAAACTCCACAGCAAGTACCTCGAGAGCTCTGTGTTCATTCTTTCACATCCTAAATTTATCAACTAGTGATACATTGTCTGGCTCGGAGTTTTGCGTGCAGTTAAAATTTGTTGAGTGGCTGAGCTGCACTCAGAGAGAGAAGACCATGACTTGTCTTCTCTTCTTGCCTTTTCTCTATGGTCCAGGTTTCTGCCTGTCTTTTCATGGGTTAACTTACAGGAATTCCTGAATTTGGATGAGAAGACCCTATTTTTATTTCTCATACAACTAACTGAAAATTAATATGCCTGTCAATTATGAAGGTAGCAAAGAACAACCGTGTTAGCAGTACCTGAGGCTTCATCACCAACTGAAATCACAGGTATTTTTATGTCACATGAATTACTGAAAACACTTAGAAACGCCATTTATGGTCATCAGCAATTCGAAATGACTATTGCTAGATCTTGTTATTTAAAATATTTCCTATGTAAACATTTATATATTTTATAACTATTTAAATGTAATTGGTTTCTTTTGAAAAAACTATATATTTTATTATATGCCTTTGAAAACTTTTAGAAAAGAGGTCTGTAGGCTTCACCAGACTGTCAAAGGGGTTCACTGCACACAAGGTCAAGACCCCCGCTTACACCCTGCCTTCTGGGGTCTTGATTTTTGGTCCGTGCCGGTGGGGCTGGGCGCTAACCAGAGCAGGTTTGGGAGAACTGGGAGCCTTTTCAGTTTCAGAAAGCCTCTGATGGTTGCGAAGCAAGATGCTGCCCACTAGTGGCTGGAAGATAGAACTGGGAGACTGCTTACAACACAGGCCTTAGCACAGCAGGCTGGGGATGTTGGTAGTGTCTTGGCACTTGTGTCTGAAACTAGAGAACAAAGGCAATAGGTGGTTTTACCCCTGCCTACAAGTCCAGGCTCATCACTTAAAAATCTCTTCCTTGGTCTCTGTGCTCCTGCCATTTTCTCTGTCTTTCAGTGTCTCGAAGCTTCCTCTTGCATTAGGGCGTTAATACATGCTATTACCTGGGCTGCACTGCCCCTCCCGTCACCTCACCTGCATAGCTACACTCTCCCTCCGCATCTGGGTCCCTGCGCCTGAGCCTCCACTCTAGGCCAGGCTCCTTGACAATCCTCGACTAGATCTGTGCTCACAGCTCCTTCTCCTCAGGGTGGTTTTTCTTGCTGTTGTTCATCATTTATCATCGCACTAGGCTGTAAAACCCCTGAGGGCAGGGACCGTTTGCTTTTTTTCTCTGCAGCATCCCCAGTGCCTGCCCAAGGGCACTGAGTAAACATTCATTAATGAAGAGTGAATTTGAATTGGAAAATTCATAAAGGGACTGTGAATACGAGCAGAATGGACTTACATCCATGAACAATAAAGTCAGATGGTCTCTTCCACTGTGACACCCCATTACTACCAAGCATCTCCATACTCCTAGAGGTCCTACTTACACCAGTAACACAGGGCTCTCCGGGGTCACACAGTAGGAACAGTGTAGCAAGACTGACAGGCCGGGGAAACAAAGGGCCTGGGGTCAGACCCTGGCCTCGATGCTTCCTTCCTGGGTGACCTCAGCCTCTTTGTGCCTCAGTTTCCTCATCTGTAAAATAGTGAAAATAATAATACCTATAGCATAGGATGGTTAGGAATGCTAATGAGGTAAATAAGGAAAGCACGCAGCACGTAAGTACTGATCAAATGGTACCTAAAGGAAAAGAGCCAATGGAGCCTAAGGCACCGTCAATCCACTCTGCCTACCCTCTAGAGAAGCACTGGGTTTGGAAAGGAGGGCAGTGTGCAGCAGGGCTGGGCCTGGCTCCCATTCCTCCCCCTGCTCTGTCTTGGTTGGGATACTCATGGGAGCCACTAAGAAACAAAATTTAAAAGCAGAACCCTGGTCGGGTGGCTCAGTTGGCACATCAAAAGGTTGTGGGTTTGCTTCCTGGTCAGAGCACATACCTGGGTTGTGGGTTCTATTCTTGGTTGGGGCGTGTAGGAGAGACAACTGATCATTGTTTCTCTACCCCCCTCCCCCCACATCTCTCTCTTCTTCTCTTTGAATATCCTAGGGTGAGAATTTAAAAAAATTTAGAGGCAAAGGACTCTTTCTTGTAGCTTGGCTGCATCCCTGCCTATGTGTCCATGTCTCCACCTCCCTCAGGATGTGCTGAATGTTCTGTCCTTGCAGAAGGGCCTGTGCTTCCAGTCATGATTTCCTTCTGATCTTTTATACACTCACATCCCTGCCTAATTCTTGCTCCAGGGATTTAGAATCAAAATAGTTTACTCTGGATTCAGATAGAGCTATAACATTGGTAACACATTTGGCACAGAATTTCTCAGAATATAGTAGTGCTCCATAAATATCAGTTGTTTCTCTATTAGAGAACAGTGGATTGTCCTGAAAGTGAAATCCTAGTCTGCCCTCTTAACTTTATAACAGTTGCTAAGCACCTAGCACAACATCTGACACTGAAAGGCTTTCAAGAAATGTGCTGGTGGAAAAGGATGAGTGAAAGAACTGACGCTTATTTTTCTCTTCCAGGCCCAATGGGGCTTTGCAGTGCTTGACTGCCCCACTTCTGCACGTTGCCGCTAGAGGGCAGGAGAGGTTAAGACAAGAATACTCAGGACCAGTGAGACCCAGAATGCTTGAAAAAACCAGTTCTTTATCTCTTGGGGACCGAGTGGAAGGAAATGTGTAGCTAGAGAGATTGAAGTTAGACTTCAAGAACTTCCAGTGAACAAAGTATGCTTCCTAGAGATTTTATACAGGTGATTTTTTTTTTTTTTCCCCTTTAGCTACATCTGCCCAAGCAGAATAGATGAGAAAGCGGGCTCTTTCGGTCTGAGGCTTATATGACCCTACTAGGTCCTCTTAAAGTGCCTGCCTTTAATGACTCCATTCTTGCAGATGCAGTTGTAGAATACCTTTATTAGTCAGGTTAGCCACCACTCATGCTTTTCCTATATAAGGATCCTTTATAGAGGCATGATGGTGTTCACATGCAGATGCTTTCTGAAGAGCCCTGGGGCGGGGGCAGCTTTACCCCTCACACCAGAGCTCCTTGGTTGAAATGAGCTGGTTTGGCTTTTGTGGATTTCAGGGTCTGGAGCCACGAACATAGTCCAAAGATCCCCCCTTCGCTTCTTGAGAAACACACACAGCATCAAGGACACAATGGCATCTGGGCAAGGGCCAGGCTAGGGCTCTCTCTCTCTCCCTGGGCTTCCCAGATGGCTCCATCCCCATGATGCCCCAAAGAGAAGGAATGTTAGGCCCCAGGCAACATTACCTTTCAGAAATGGGGAGAAGTCAACGCTCTCCAGCCAAGCTATAAAGCAACAGGCATCCTCAGTAATGAGGGTGTAGCTCAGAGATGCGAAAGCAGAGGGTTTTATGCTCAGCACAGGAAAGAGTTGGCTGCCTGGCCTGGGCTTCATGGGCCCAGTGAGCATCTCCAGCCAGAGCTGGTACTACAGAACTGTGGCCTTGGCACAAATCAATTAATGCAGGAGAACCACAGCCTCCTCCTTGAGCTAGCAGGCAAGTCCAGGGCTAGTTGGAGTCTGTCTCTCCCATCAGGATGGAGATCTTCCTGCTTGGATAAGAGGAGCAAGAGCCAAACTACCTCTCTAATGCTCTGAGAACCACATGGTCTCCCCTTTGAGGATAAAGACCCAAGTAGGGAGCTGCTGCCAATGTGGAAAGTGCAGGGCAGGAACAGAACTACTGGGGAGCCCCATCAGTGCAGCCTAGTCTGACTCCCCGCTTTTGAAGTCTGATCTACCTTCGAAAAACTGCCCGGCTGCTAAGGTATAGGCCCATCCATTGATCTAAGCCTAAGGTTGGTTGTCTCCTCCCACATCAGGCCCTGAATATTGTCATCATACTGGTGACCTCCTCTGGTGGCTTTCAAGGAGTGAGGTTAGGGAGGCATAGGGGTGACTCTTGGTGACCTCCAATTTCAGACACCAGTGTGGGTCCTCTGGTGGCAGGTGCCCGAGTGCCTTGGGGCCTCCTGTCTCTGCCTAAGGCATAGAAGAGCTGGCTGTGCAGCAAGCTGAGTGGCTGGGGGCAGTTAGGAGGAGGCAGGTGGACTAGAGGTATATTCTGAGCAGCAATGCGCGCCAGCCCAGGGGAGCGGCATGACCAGCCCCGGACATGGGCGCGCTGCCCAGCGCTGCTCAGAGTCCGGGCTCGGTGGGAAAGCAGGCTGTGTACTGTGACCAAGCAACTTTTAAAGTTCATGACACCAGATCAGCGGGAAGAACCTAAGGGCAGTGAGAGTTCTGACGCTGGGACTGTCGGGGATTACTCCCTCTGCCGCCACTTCTGTCCTGGAAACTACAGCTGGGGCGTGTCCCTCCTCCCACCCGACCCTGCCCACAGGGAAGAAGGCTACAGGGGGCGCGTGGAGTTCTGTCACATGGTCTGTCCCAGACCTTCCAGCAAAAGCCAAACCAAACCATCAAGCCAAATGCAGTGGGGCGAGGGGCCCTGGGCCCCGCGCCCAGGGCGAGGCCGCTCAGATCTCGATGAGGCTGGCCTGGCGCAGGCAGAGCGGCGCGTCCTCGGGCATCGCGTTCCGCTGGATCTCGTTGCCGTCCAGGCGCAGCACCTGCAGCTTTGAGAAGTTCATGACGTCCACCACGGTGCAGAAGCTGCTGATGGAGAACTCTGTGGGGACAAGAGGGGCGGCAGTGGGTGGGAGAAGCCCGGATCCGGGACCCGGATCCACAGCGAGGCCAGGCAGCCTGTGAAACTGCTCGGTGCCGGGGCTGGAACCTGGCTGAGGGCCCCAAGCGTTCTCCAGGGTTGGGCGTCATACCGACTCGCACCCCTAGGGGGCGCGACCAGGGCGGCCTGGATCTCCGCCGTCTGCTCCGCCTCCTGCCCCGTCCCCAGCCTGGCCTGTGCTCTGCAGACCCTGCGACGCCCGTGACTGTTCTTCCAGCCAGGACCTGGTCTCTTCCCATCCGT